TATGGGGTAGCATCACTGAGCTTTTCCATTGCCAGCTCCCCAGGAATACACCTATCAGAAGATGATGTGCTACAAGTGCTGTGCTTGCCTGCACCTCTCTGCTGTCAACAACCACAAGAAGAAGTTCGGCCATACCAATAATTTGTGACCAAGAAGAACTTGAAAACAGGCCTCTCCACAGCCTACTCCACTGTATTCAGAGGGGCCCCCTGCCAGAGACCCATGTCCCTGGGGCCTCATTAAAATATGAAAAAAAAATCTGCCTTAGGGATACTCAAAGAATTAAAGGAAGAAATGCAAAAAGTGAAGAAAACAGTGTGTGGACAAAATAGAAATATAAATTAGGAGGTAGAAACCCTAAAAATAAAGCAAGACGAAAACCTGGAGTCCAAAGACAACTAAAATGCAAAATTCACTAGAGGAGTTAAAGGCAGTTTTGAGCAGGAAGAAGGCAGAATCAGTGAATTTGAAGTTAGACAATGGAAATTATTTAGTCTGAAGAACAGAAATAAAAATGACTGAAGTGAACAGAGCCTAAGGGACATGGGACCTGTGGGACACCAATGAGCAAACCAATATATACACACTGTGGATATCCCAGAAGGAAAAGATAAGGGAAAGGGGCCAAGAGAATCTCTGAAGAAATAGTGGCTGATAACTTCCCAAGTTTGATAAAAGACATGAATATAAATATCCAAAGAGCTCAACAAACTCCAAGTAAAATGAACTCACAATAAGACTCATAATAATCAAACTTTCAAAAGCCAGCAACAAAAAAAAAAAAGAGAATTTTGAAAGCTGCAAGAAAGAAGTGAATCATCATATACAAGGGATCCTAAATATGACTATCAGCAGATTTCTTATCAGAAACTTGGGGGCCAGAAGACATTGAACTAAGAGAATCAAAGTGATCGGGGAAAAATGGTCAACTTCAAATCCTCTATAGAGTAAAACTGTGCTTCAAAAGTAAGGGAAACAGCAAGCCTTTCCTAGAAATAAGAGAATTGGTTAGCACTGTAACTGACCTGGAAAAAATGCTCAAGGATCTCCTAAAAGGTGAAGCTAAAGGACACTAGAGAGTGTTACCTAGACAGGCAGTCTGAGCTCTGCGGAGTCTGCCCCATTAGCCAAGATGGTATTGGGAGAGATTCTTACACTAAGCAAGCCCACAGCTATACAGATGAATGGACAGGCCCCAGGGGCAAAAACTAGCAAGATAATTGGATAGAAGTTTTTAAAAAGCTCTCTTCTCCCTATCCATTTAAGAACCTAGGGCTTGAGCAGGAAGGGCTGATGGTTTTTTTGTTCTTGTTTTTTAAATATATCTTTATTGATTTCAGAGGAAGGGAGAGGGAGAGAGAGAGAAACATCAATGATGAGAGACTCATTGATCGGCTGCCTCCTGCACGCCCTGACTGGGGATGGAGCCCATAACCCGGACATGTGCCCTGACCGGGAATCCAGCTGAGATCTCCTGGATCCTAGGTCTATGCTC